TCACAGGTGCTGGCGAAACGTTAGGAAACAAGACTTCAAGACCACGGCCACACAGCCCGGAAGACCCACACCAGCCATCCATCACTTTGTTTTCTTGGCTGTCCACGGTATTCTCAGGAGTCTTCTCCAACACCAGAGTTCAAAGGCATCAATACTCTTCCTCTCCTGCTTCTTCAAAGTTCAACTTCCACTTCCATAAAGTGTCACAAAAAATATCATGGCTTGCACGATGGTGATCTTAGACAAATCTAGGATTGTCCAATTAACTGGCCCTCTGTACCAAAGGACAAATTCTAGCCATCAGCATAGACTGCCTTAAAATACTATGTGATAGGTGTCTGGTACAAGCCATGACGAAGTAACATACACTATGATGCCATTTGAAGATTGAAAGTGTTTCTCCCCTCCTTTCCTTTTACTCTCCGGAGAACTAGGAAGGGTCCCTTCTGAAATGCTTCCTACACCGCTTTTCCTTCTGTGGGCTGAGATGCCTTTTACATGCCAGTTGTCCAGTCTGTGGCTCTCCCTCCTGTCTCCCAAGACCATTCCCACATGTATGCAAGGAATGATGACAAGTGCATCCACACAGCTTGGATCAATTTTGGGGTACTTTATAGTAGAATCATAAACGTTGGACATCTGGAAGTGCCTTTTGTCTGTCAAGGTTCCACCTTTCCAAATTTGGCACTTTCCAGGTGTATCTGGGACTATATGCCTCAGCCATTCAGCTGGCTGGGACTTCTGGGAACTGGAATCCCAGAAGATCTGGCTGGCACCAAGTTGAGGAAGGCTGTTCTCAGTGTTGCATTGGAAGTTAACAATATCATTTTATTCAAACAATTTAAAAATAGCTTTGTAACTAACTATGTTTGAGAGTTAAAAGGTAGGAAAAGTAGTCAGTCTCAGTGAAAACACCTCTGTAATGGTATGTGGGAAAGACCTTGAGAGATGGAGCAAAGAGATGTTGCCTAGGGAACAGTCAGATAAGAGAAGGCATAGCCCGCAGCTGCATAATGGGTGGAGAAAGAGGCTCAGAAGGGACCCTCCTGTGATGGAATGGTTTGATGAAGGCCGCGCTCGGGGAGATAAGCATTTCCTTAGCCCCCAGCAGGAGCGTGGGAAGGTTAAGAAGATGAGACTGGGACCACACTAAGGAATTCATGGTGTTTTGGCTTGCTGGCTTGAGAAGTTGATTGATGTCAGGTTCAGCTCAAAGAACTCCATGAGACAGTACCGATACAGTTCTGTTGCATCTATTAGCTTCAACCTCTCAGACAGAAATCTCTCCAGACTGAATCTAAACTTCAAACCATTCCATCACACTCCTTAGTTTCCCAAGTTGTAAAGGAGACGGTGGGAGATTTGCACTTTCAGACTTGCAAGATTGATGTCAGCCTTCCCAGATAGACCAGACAGGAAACATGACCAGATGAACTAATTTTACTTTATTGTAAGGCTATAGTAACAGCATCTTGCAAGTCTGAAATCAAGGCGGGGTTATTTTTAATTTCTTTCTCAGGCTTTCTCCTATCTCTGCACTGGATAACATCTTTCTGAAACTCCTCCCCCTTTACATGCCATCACATCCACTAAGTTTGACCACTGGACCAAACGGACTTGTGACTCTTTATCTTGAAGGTACCCATAATTTTAACCAGAAGTCATCTTGCCTTCTAATTAGTGCATGAAAAATGGACTCTGATGATTGATGGCCTAATACGGAGGGGAGGGGAATTTTAATCATTCCCCCCTTTCCCTTTTATATCTCCCTGCTCTGTCTGTCTGCGACTCTTGAAATTTACTATTTTGCTAGTGAGGCTTGACCAAGCCTGCTCCTTCCACCAAAGACACTGAATGTTAGGAAGTATGGATCATTCTTCCAGCTGTGCAAAGAGATGTAGCAGTGGCTGCCATTAAAAATTACAGGGAAGTGCCTAAAACATTCCAGAAATTGTTCTTCGACAGTTAAGACCAAGCCTGGAAGAAGTTTAAACCAGAAGGTATGATTGGCCGTTGACAGGAACTAGTTCAGTGTTTTTCAGAGTTGGCCCCTTTAAGATGTGTGGACTCCCAACTCCCAGAATTCCCCAGCCGGCATGTTTCAAATCAGCTGAGTCAATTTCAGCCTTCATTTTCTGACTATAGCAGTAATGGCAGTCTTGGTTCCCAGAAGGATAAGAGAGTCAAAACGCTTTACATAAACTGCCAGCTGCAAGCTTCTGCCATTGAAGAAACTCACCAGCTTGCCCGATCACAGGAGATCTGTTAGAAAATCAGAAAGAGTCCACTCTGATGCAGATAGAGAGAGAAAGGAGAATTTGTTGAGTTGCATTCATTCTTGCAAGTCATCCCTTTCACCTCAATAAATCTTGCTAAAGAAAACTCTGGCAGAATTGTGCTGGGAAAGAACCACTTTCAATGCAGGGCAGATGCCAAACAGCCTAACAAAATTTATGAAGTAGAGATCTTCAAGGGCAGCACCTCCCTAATACAGTGGCTATGCCCATCTTCCCCTGCTGCTCAGTGCCATCCCTGCCCTGCTGGGACTCACAGAGGTGCCACCAAGATGGCAGTGTTGCCACCCCTAAGATGGCAGCATCTTGCGGCTGGCTGGTGGTTTGTCACCTGGGTCCCCAACGTGGCACCCACAGGTGCTAACATGTAGTACGTGAACACCTTCTTAGAATCCCTCAGGCTGAAGACCGTGGGCCTGATTTGATTTTTGAGTCTTTCAATTCTAGAAATATGGGAAGCCAGCGTGAGAAGTCACATGCACGTACAAAAAAGGGTGGGCTTTTGATCACACTGTGACCGCCCTTTTGCAGATTTTGGCACACCACCTCACAAGTGCACCGGTTCAAGTTCAATCCCCTTTGCATTTGGCGGATAATTCTTGGGAAGCTGGAGAGATAAACTGCTCATTTTGAACACAGCTACACCGGAAACACACCCACATGTCTACAACCACAGATGAGTGAAAGGAAAAGCCTACAGTGCTTTTTCCAGGTTTTCTCTACCCTCATTTTCAATTTTTTTTCCAGTAAAGATCTTTGTCTTTCAATCTTCCAGTAAAAAGCACCACATAATTTGTATTATTGTTTCTAATGACTCAAAGTGGTTTGTCACTGCTTTTACCTTTGGCAAGAGCGAAGAGCAACACATCCAGTAATTATTTTCACCAGAAGGGACGCGAGGTGTGAAAAATAGGCAAAAATTAAACTTTCCACTTTCGGAACGAGGCTGGTGAGGCTTCTGTGTTTGGGCTGTCACACAGAGTGCTTCATCCTCCATCTTTGCCCTACAACAACCCTGTGAGGTAGGCAGGGTGAGAGAAAATGGCTGGCTCCAAGTCACCCACGGAAATTGGATGGTTGAGTCGGACTGGCTTTTGGGTCTTCCCACTCCAGCACCTTCAACAGACATGATACCTCCCCTGGTTCTACCAAACTCCTGCTGGAGAACTCCTGCAACCAGAAGCCCCAGCCAACATGGCCCATAGGCTGTGAATTCTGGGTGTTGTAGTCCCAGCACCCCCACAAACTTGGGGAAAAAAAGACTGCGAGCGAGGGATACGCGACCTCTCCTTATTCACATTCCTGAGCAACTGAAACCAGGTCATTTGACGTTTCATGACCAAGAGGCAGAAGCCACCCTGTGCGGTGCATAATTTTTCGAGAGGAGTTAGTTGCAGTCAATTAATTAGGTGTGTGGTTCTGCTCTGAGCACTGAAGCATGCTCCCACCCATTCCCGTCTCGTGGCCGGGTTGCTTCGCTTTCTCCCTATTAATACTATTCGTCCTCCTCTGGTTTACAACGGAGACTAAATGCAATTAAGGAGATGCTAAACGTCATTCTCTCGTCTAGCACTCGAGAAGGGGGAAGAGGGGCTTTTGTCATTAATCATGTGGAAGGCCGAGGAAGAGAAGTCGGCTGCTGTGCTTTCTGGGCCAACACCTGCCCGTGACAATATGTGCTGTTGGGAAGGCTTCATGCCCCCAGACGTCCTGGTTTAAAACCGGGGTAAACTCACAGCTCTCTTTTTGCAACCTTTAAGATGCCATCACAGCAGCGAAACTGAGTGGCAAAACTCCAAAATTCAGCAATGTGAAATTTCAGGCTATTTTTTTCTAAGGTGCCTGAGGATAAACCTCTACTTCCTCCTCCTCTGGCTTAAAGGGCCCACGTTTCAGCCTCTCTGCTCTGGGGGCATCACCACATTCATCCCCCACCCCACCCCCACCCCCGCCTGTTGGAGGCAGAATATTACAACCCCAAAGTTTCGGCCCACAGAAAAGAAGTTTTGAACCCTCTGGTCTTTGCTAGCCCACCTTGCAGCGACATTTCGAATTACAAGATCCTACCACGTTATCTTCCTTTCTTGAGATCCCTCTGAAGCATGAGAAGTAGGTACAAGATCGCTCGCTGCTGGCAGTTTCCACCATGTGAACTCCGAGGCAATTCATCCTTTA